TTTATAAGGGAGTTTGCGGATTCCGGCCTATTGGTTAAAAATTGAGGGGGGTGGGGGGGGGGGAGGCGTAGTACATCCCACCGGAGAAATGGTACCAGTAGTTTATTTCACACCGCAATACGCACACAACAGCAGTTCCAAGTTTGGTTTTGGGTCGGTGGTAATCACGGCAAGTGCCTCCTTGCGGTGTACCGTAGATGTTTTCGATGGTTTTGCTGTTCATCTATGCGATTTACTTGCGATACATTATGTTCCAAGAGTCCGATCTTTGTTTGTTGACCCCCCTGACAGGGTTTGGACGAGACGGAGGGGCCTTCTGACGACGACGTGGAGGGGGGAACGCTGGTTGGAGGCCACGAGGTGTGTGTTTTCCGTGGTGTTTCTCTCCACTTTTGGAGATACAGCAGTACACCTGAAAGGTTGCTCGAGCATTGCTTCTTCAGCAGTGTGTGTCCCCGAACATGGCGGTCGCCCAAACACTGCGGGCGGGTGAAATAGGCTGGCATGGACGGAGTAGCCAAGTTGTTCTACACATAGAGTAAGGCGGCGGCCCCTTACATATAAGGCGGTCATTTATCAGCTGCCCAGCACCGCCTTCTTCGGGTACCCCAGCTGTACTATTATACTGCTAACCCTATTTGTTTTTCAATTGGAAACCAACTCCGCAGGCAGTAGGCGATGGAGAGGGCGCAGAAGGGGCCGTGAAGAAATTGAGTTTCCAGGTACGTACCAATTTGTGGTGGACTATTGTGGTGTGACATACGCACGCGATTTACGCCTTTGCGGCAAAACCGATCAGCGGAACACGTGGTTCCACCCCCACCCCCCACCCCTTGCCTGGGCTGACACCTTGTTTAAACCAATGTTTTTTTTTTTCGAACCGTCGATCTTCGAACCACGAACGAATTCTGTTCCAGAAGGCACTCGCTGACATGATAGCACCGGTGTAATTCCCTCCCTCCCTTTTGTGTTCCCACTGGGGTTCTTGGTTCCTAGGGTCATGCTACGAATGGTCGCCGAGTAGGTTGTATTAGTAGTAAGGGTTCTTATCTGAGCTCACGAATGATGCTCAACTGTTTACATTTTGCGTTTTTTGGAGGCTATAGTATGCCAATTTTTCTTAACCACGTGCCAAGGTCTTACGTGAGGGCGCTATCTATTATGAAACAGTCGAAGCGAACTTGACTGTGTCTTTGCCCCCTCTCTTTGTTCTCTCACTGCATACATTGTATGCATACCTTTTTTGTTTTTGGTTCTAGAAAGGTGAACACCCCCCTTCTGTGGGTAGTTTGCCTGTGACCGCCGAAGGCGTCAGTTGGACTGTTTGTACGGACATTAGAAGGTACTTGGGCGGAGAGCGGAACGTTTTCGGTTTCCAAACAACACTGTTTGATGTCCGTTCTGTTCGCGCCGGCGTGTGCTGCCGTTGCAGGCGCCTACGGGGTTCGAGGCTCCCACCAGCGGCAGCGGCCCTGCGGACGGGAAAGAATGCAAGCAGAGCTGAGGCTGGCCCATCTGCGTGTCCCCCCCTTTCCGGTTTTCTTTCTTGGCCTCTCTCACCTGCTCTCTCTCTCTGTCGTTGATGCGCTTTTTCGCCTTTGTTTGTTTTCGTTCTTGTTGCGTGCGAGAACGAGTAAGATTTTTGGTCCTTGTCTGTAGTGCTACGCGTGTGGGGGTGGGAGGTGAAGGATAACCGCTCCATGGTAGATGGATTGGAGTTTTTTCTCGGGGCGGGTTGTTCTAACTGTTTTTTTTTTGGTCCTGGTCGAGGCTTGTTTTAGTGGACATGCAAGGTTTCCACGTTTTCTTTCAAGCACATAAATATATTAAAAAACAACGATCGATGATTGCGTATCTAGGCAAAAGCAGGCACGCGCAAATAGCTGCCTTGATTTGGGAAAAGTGGCGTTTTCTTGTCCGCCCCCTCTTTTTTGTGGCTTCTCGAGGGTATTTGCCGCACTGGGGGGAGAGGGTTCGATCAGAAGGGATTGATGGCCCTTACATAGCTCCTTCTCCTCCTCCAGTATCACATCGCTCCCCACGGGAAGATGTAACGAGGACAACAGGTGCTTGACGAGAGGCGAGAGGACTGTAAAGTCGTCAGACACAGAGGCAGATTCGCGTCACCGTCGCTGCGTCTTCCTTACGTACGTCCTGGCGGGGGTGTGCGACTTTATTTATTCCACACAACAACCGTGAGTTGACGTTCTTCTTGGCGATGCTGGTGCGCCTGTAGGCACCGGAAGGGTTGCGATTGACCCGTATCCGTGGTGTGACCTACATATTTCCTAATCCTCTGGGTATGAACCCTCCACCCCTTCCTGAAGACGACGTTGTCCCCCCCCCCCCCCCCTTCCCTGAAACCTTCCGCCCCGCCGGGATTGATTCCAG